GAAAAGAGGACAAGAATAGATTAGAGTTCCACTACTATGAATGAAAAGCTATTCCGTTTAATTTAGTAAAGGGACATACTTATACTAAAACTCATTCCTTTTTTTATAAAAAAATGGCGTAGCATGAATATAAAGATGCTGCTTGAATTTGACCCCCACCACCTATTTTGCAGAAAAATATGTTACCCCAATAAAATATACACTTTCAGAGTTCCAGAATCACCACTGGCCCCAAACAATAATAAAACAAAATTTTATCATCAAAATCTTTGTTACTATTGAGGCAATGTGAAAGGAATTTTTTTATTTAAAAATTATTTTTACATCTTTTTTTATTTAAAAATTATTTTTACATCTTTTTTAATCTAAAAATTATTTTTACATCTTTTTTTATTTAAAAATTATTTTTACATCTTTTTTTATTTTTAAAATTATTTAACATTTTTTTATAAAAAAATTATTTTTACATCTTTTTATTTGTAAAAATTTATTTTTACAATTTTTTTATTTAAAAATTATTTTTACATTTTTTATTTAAAAAATTATTTTACATCTTTTTTATTTAAAAATTATTTTTACCTCTTTTTTATTTAAAAGTTATTTTTACCTCTTTTTTATTTAAAAGTTATTTTTACATCTTTTTTATTTAAAAGTTATTTTTACATCTTTTTTATTTAACAATATTTTTTACATTTTTTTTTATTTAAAAATTATTTTTTACATCTTTTTTTTAAAAATTTTTCTTTTTTTTTATTTTTTTTTTTATTTATTTTTGCATCTTTTTACATAAAATTTTTTTACATCCTTTTTAAAGAAATTTAACAGAAATTTTTTTAAAAACTTTTTTTTTTTTGCGTTTTGGACAGGACCATAAATTTGTACAGGAAATTTAAGCGCTTTGCTTTTTGCAATGAAAAACTTTGATTAGGAAATTCTTGCAAGATGATTGTCTGATTTTAATGACATTTTCAGAACTTATTCTTAAAACTTATTTTTAAACTAATTTTTAAAATGTGTCTTTTTATGAGAATCTTTGGAAAGATATTTTTTGTGCATCTGTTACACACCATTCCTTTAATTTTATGAAATTTCGAGAAATTGATTTTTCTATCGCTTAATGTTTATATTAGCCATAAGAACAAAAATCATATCTTTTCGTTCCCAGTTAGAGAAAATCTGTCCTAAATCGAAAAAAAAGGCAATAAAGCTAAAATATTTAATTAGAAAAACTTTTAATTGCTTTTATGAATAACGTACATAATGGACATTATTTTTTCAAGAATAAAATTCGATTATTAATGAATTTTACAAGAATTGTTTTTATTTTTTTACATTTTTATTAGAATAATTTATAAACTTTTAAATTTTTTAAAATTCTGTATTAATTTGTATATGGCAAGTGATATAAAAATGTATTTACAAATCATAATTGGAAAACCTCACTACACTTCAACGCACCCCAGTATTTTAATAAGAAATAATTTTTTTCTTTATGTGTATAAACATACTGATTTTTCTAAATACGAATGTCCATACATGAGAGATATACTTATAGTAAATTTAAAATTTATAAGTAATTTTCTAACATTTCAACAACTAGTGTTTTCCTAATTAAGGGTACAAAGCTAAAGTGCCTATAATTCAATGAAATATTAGAATTCTTAAAATATTTAAAATTTTATTTCGATGATGCATTTGTCATTATCATTGGTTCTCCGATACGGAAATTACATATGACTCAACATAAGAGAAGTTTTAGAAGCTGACGTTTCTAAATAAAATAAAATTAAAATAAAGGTTTTTTGGGGTTTTTTTTTAACTGACACTGAAAATTAATGGCAGTAATGATTTTAGGATTACGGCCATATCACATTGAAACATTGGTTCTCGACAGATCACCGAACTTAAGCAACGTCGAGCATATTGCGTTTTGAACGCGTGGAAAGATGGGGGGGGGAGACACTACTTGGTTTCAGTGAGAAAATGAAAGAACAAAAGAATGAAGGGGAGATAAAAGTGTTTAATGGCCGTTTCAGTGAAATGAAAAAAAAAAAGGTGTTAATTTCAAATGTTTTCATTTGTACCCACTTCTTAAAATAATACCCAGCATTCATATTTATGATTGCTATTGCAATATTTTGTTAAAGCTGTTAAGCTCAAATATTTAACGACGCAGTATGGGAATTTCTACGGATATTTTATTGTCAGAATTCGCTATGAGCTTACTCAATCATAAACTTCAGAATTAAGATTTAGCAGAATATTAAAATAGGAAATCCGTGAAATTGAAATGTTAAAACTAGTTATTATTATTATTATTATTATTATTATTATTAAGCATTTCACCCCAAGCAAGGCGGGAAGCCACTAGGACGCAAGGGGTTACAGAATATTTGGAGCAAGATCAGATAGGAGTGATAGAAGAAAGGATGAGGAGAAGAGTAGTGGATAGATCAAGGCAACTGGAGATGTCGATTGACATTACACTTGAATAGCTGGAGATTATAGCTCTCAGGGAAACTGGAATAGGGAAGGGAGTTCCACAGGCGAGAGGTGCGAGACATGAAGCTATTGGAGTAGAAGAGACGGCTACATTTAGGAGTTTCGACAGTGAAAGGGTGAGAGCGGGATGCCAGCCTCGTAGGGCGCTTGAACTCATGAAGTCTGGGAACCAGCGAATGCAGCTCCTCGGAGCAATTTCCATGAAAGTATTTGTAAAAAAGACAGAGAGAGGCGACGGCGCGTCTGTGAGAGAGCGACTGTAGACGAGATGCCAGATCAGGGCCAATTATATTGCATATCCGCCTCTGGAGCCTATCAAGAACCCCGAGGCAAACAGAAGGGGCACCAGACCATATATGGCAGCAATACTCCATGCAAGGGCGAATTGTTGATTTGTAGATCTGGAGGATCGATTCCGGGGAGAAAAATTTCCTGGCGCAGCACAGGGAGCCAATTTTCCTTGCGGTGGACGAAGCAATTGACTCAATGTATTTGTTCCATCTCAGGTCAGCAGTCAACGTGAGACCGAGCAGCCGCAGAGAGTTGCTCTCGAGAAGTTGAGCGTCAGACATTTTAATGGAGGGCAGGGCAGGATCTCTGTAGTGATTAATAGAGAGCAGTTTTGTTTTTGAAGCGTTAAAATTGACCAACCAATTCCTGCCCCAGTTCACAACCGATTGGATTATTATTATTATTATTATTATGAAAACATCAGCAACAACAACGACTTTTTTGTGTTCATTTTTTTATTTATTTTTATTTGCACAGGTCAAATCCATCGGAATTTACTCTGCTTGACTACCATGATGAAGATCAGCTACGACAAAGTTCTTTCAATGGTTCATTAGAGACGAAAATCATTATTCACGGCTTTCGAAGCTTCACTGACAAGCCCTGGGTTCACGGACTGATAGAAGAACTCTTCAAACACGTAAGTTTATGGACTGACAAACAAAAAAAAAAAAAACTTTTCTATTTGCAAACTGTAGCAATATCAGTCAGCTGAGATCTTAGTAAATTGAAAACAGCTGGACCTCTCACAAAAATGGATTCGAAACATTTATTTTCGACCGATCGTTATCAGTATTGTAAAGTGGGCTTCATGGGCGGCCGAGATAAAGAGAAGTTGCTGAATGAAGATAAATTGCTTTTTTTTTTTAGACGAAAATGACAGGACAGTGAACCATGTTAGTTATAAAACTGACCATTGACCGCGAAAAGAAACACCCAGAGACGAAACGGGCCTCGGAGTACGACAGGACAGGGAAGACACCCGTTAGACTGTTCACCCCCATCGCCTACATCTCACTCAAACTTCGCTCGCTTATAACAGTAGGTTACAACCCAAGAATAAAATCTGGTTTACTACTAGAAATTGTTTTGTTTTTCACTCGTGGGTAATAACCTGGCCGAAGGGTTATTTTTAAGCCGTAAGATTTCAACTGGAAGAAGCTACACCCTGCCAACGAACCAATTGTGGCCTGAGCACATTTTCAACAAAATTTTTTTGAATATTAAGGCTGCAACAGGGTCAGAGATAAATCCCAGCATGCATCTGTAAGATTTGTAAATTTGGGGAGGGGGACAGAGAGAGTCGAATTTTGTCTAATGTAAATATTCACTGGGCTTAGCTTATTCTAATTAAAGATTAGAACAGATGGTTGGAATATTGAGTTACGTTATTCTTATAAATGGACAAGGCCTATCTTTTTAGAAAATCAACATTTGACTCCGATGCCACAACCTGAGTCCAGACACAGATCAGTTGAAAAATATTCAACTGTAGCGATATAATGTTGCTGTTATTTGTATTGAACACAATGGTGTTGCTGCTGGTCACCAATTTGTAACGAGAAGACTTAAGAATTGTTGCCGATGAGGATGAAGTCTTTCAGATTAAATAAAATTTAACATTTTCAAAAGAAACTAATTCAAGACGTGGAGGAAATTTATATATACATTCATTTTTTTTTTTTAATTTGACATTATTTTTTATTATTATAATTGGTATTTTTAGTAAGTACACCTATTTTTTTTATCTTCTTAAATATAGAACAACATAGCTCACAAAAGAAGAGAAAGAGAAAATTATATTTACGCTTGTACAGATAGCTCAAACAAGACAAAAAAATATTTATATACTTCTCCGTAGGAGGTGCGTATGATATTCACGTGGTTTGTTTGAAATTCAGTCGTCGGTTTATGGAGAGAAAGAAGATAAAGTCGATGTTGTTTTTACATCTTTTAAAGCAAAAATTGTGAAAGATGAAGTGAGTTATTTTTACGTTAGTTTGAATGCCACGGTTATCTAGCAAGCGCCTAGGCAAAAAGGGAGATAAATTGTTTTTTAAAACCTGATATATATATATATATATATATATATATATATATATATATATATATATATATAAAATAAATCTTTCAAAAAATAATTACATATTGGAGACCGCTATGAATAATGGGTCAACCAAACAAGACGGAACAAAGATTGAACGGATTACGGTCATAACACATTGAAACATCGGTTCCCGTACGATTACTGAATTTAAGCAACGTCGAGCCTAATCAGTATCTAGATGGGTGACCGATTGGGAATACCAGGTCTTGGTGGTGTAAAGGATATTGGCTCGGAATTGTTAATCAGAGAACCGAGTTCCAATACCAATCCCGTTTGTTATATTCACTTACGTGTAAATTCCATTGAGAAGGGGAGGAATCCACCCCCATTCTCTCTCCAACTATGGGTTAGTTAGTAATATTTATACAACTAAATCATTATCTTAAAAAATATCTTACAATCTAAAATATTTTCTGGCTTTAAATAAGGGTTGATAAGCTGTAAAAAAACCCCGAATCAATCAGTCAAACAAAATTCGGTGGTAGGAAACTGTGTTTAGAAATAGTTTATCATTTCTTCCATTAGGGTGTTTGGAAACTAATTACGTATTTTCACTGCTGAAGGGAGGCAGATTTAGCCTCCGCCTAGGCCCCTTGACCAAACCTATAAGAAAGCAACATTATGCGGTGGCTGCTGTAATCGAACTGAAACTGACTGTCGCTTTGGTCAGTGTATGAAGTGATGTCATTAAGCGACCGCCACGTGACCCACGTAGTGGCTGGTCATTTATATTTCGGCTCGAACTGACCTGTAGCGTCAAGCAAAATTTGATTCTCTCATTTTACTGACGTTTGAAGAAACTCGAAACTATATAAAAAAAAGATTGGCCCACTCTCATTCGTACAAAAAAAAAAAAAAAAAATCTTTTGCTGATGGAATAAGAGTGGCATATTAACATTCATTAAAAACTGCACTTACGCCAATGATAACTTTTAGCTATGGATTGCTATGTAATGTCCATTCTCTTATATGGCAGTGGATACTGGACAATCTCCCCATGGATGAGAAGAAAACTGGAAGCAGTAGAAATGTGGTTCTACAGAAGGATACTGAGAATTCCATGAACAGAGCAAGTAAACACCAACATGTTCAAGTAAATGGTAACAAAAAGGACACATACAGGAAGAGGCAGTTGAATTTTTTTGGACGCATAATAAGGATAGAGGGTTTAGAAAGCTTGACACTCACTAGGCATATGGAGAGCAAGAGAGATAGGGGAAGGCAGCAAGGGCCATCTAATTGACAACAAAAATCGTAAATTTTATCAGATGGAGCGGGCATTGCTGAGTAAAGGAAGAAAAACTGCTATAAACCACAAGAGATAGAAAGTTGTGGAGAGCTACATTTGCCCCATGTCCTTAGGGAAAAACACAGAAGAATGAAGAAGAAGCTGAAGAAGAAGAAGAAGAAGAAGATTTTTTAAAGAAAAAATGTTTTTATCACTGATATAAGCAGAATTATGAACTCGACGTTTGTAAATAAAAATACATTACAGAATAACACTAAGAAGTCGGGTATCGATTTGACACTGTATTTATATTATAAACAGGACCTCCTTCTAGACTGATACAAAATTCAATATTTCAAATATCATGGGTTGAAGGTTTAATTCCATTCTAAATTGATATAAAATTCAATCTATTTAAGTAGTCCTTAGACAACTATATAAATGGTCAGGGAATGATTTTACACTATTTTATATTACGGACAGGACTCCATTGTAAATTGATATAAAATTCAATATTTATTTATTCTGATAAATGTCATGGCTTGAGGAAGGTTTAATGAATACTCATATATAAAAACTATTCCGTGTGGACCAATCTATTTAAGTAGTCCTTAGATAACTATGTAAATGGTCAGGGAATGATTTTACACTATTTTTATATTATGGACAGGACTCCATTTTAAATTGATATAAAATTCAATATTTTTTGTTTCTGACAAATGCCATGATTTGAAGAAGGTTTAATGAATGTTAATATACAAAAAATATTCCTATCAAAATTTTTATCTTTTTTTTTTTACGTTGGGACCAAACTATTTAAGTAGCGCCCTATACAGCGTATTTTCTCTTTCCTTTTTTTTCTTTTTTGATTTTTCTTTTTGTTTTTATATTCACTCCTAGGATGACTACAATGTGTTGTCGGTCGACTGGAAGAATGGATCTTTCTCTAACTATCCGACTGCCTGTTCCAATGCAAGAGTTGTTGGCATACAAATCTCTCTCTTGATAAAAGCCTTGTGTAAAATTACCAAAAACCCTTACGTCCAAATTCACTTGATTGGCCATAGCCTCGGTGCACACATTGCTGGCTACGTAGGCGAAAAGGTACACATCAAAAGAATTACAGGTAAGCCGATATTTGATATTTTTAACGTGAAAGTCACAAGACCCGATAAACTGACAAACATATTTGTTGATCAGCGAAAGAGAATTGTGGGTTGAAAGGTTTCAACAGTGACATTGTTTTTTTTATATACTAAAGTTCATCCAATACAAGGCTTAAGAGCTTCTCAAGGTAGAGTGTTACTGTTAAAACGGTTATGATGAATGAGGTGTGTAATATAAACGAAAGAGTGGGTAGTGGAAGTGAAGATTATGCGGATAAAGAGAATGGGCATCGATTGGTAATTGACTTGAAGAGGGTAAAATTGTAGCGTCCAGGAAGCATCCACACGGGAGCCTGTTCCAGAAAGTAGCAGATCTTGAGGAAAAATATCTATCTGAGTGGAACGCCTGTCTTATCGATGGAATACGGAGGTAATGAGGGTGATTTAATTCCGTGGAAATAGCGGAACGTGTTCCAGCTGTAAAGGCATGAACTGTTGGAACTAAAGAACGGATCTCTGCAGAGCATTTGCCATGGAAATAGCGGTAGGATTGCGACTTTGTGTCTGTTGGGAAAGAGGCTGTAGGCTGGGAAATAATTCATCTCTCACAAGGCTACCAAAAAATTTCTGTCATCAAGGCTGGAAAAGTATCCGTGTATGTCCAGACCAGACTTGAACTTTTCCTTGTCTCTTTCCCTCTATTCGACCCGAATGAGTATCAGATTCTCCAGGCCCTCCTTCCTCATTATGTGTCCCAGAAACTTCAGCTGCCTCTTCCTGATATTTAAAGTATAAAAGTTAGTTCCTCCTTTTTTGCAATCCTCTCTAAGATCTCATCGTTGCTCTCACACGCTCGGTCCATGATATCCTTAGCATCCTTCTGTAGAACCACATCTCTGTCGCCTCGAGTCTCTTCTTCATCTTTGAGGAAATCGTCCAACATTCGCTGCCGTAAAGAAAGGACAGATGTCACGTAACAGTTAAGTATTCTTTTTTCTTTGTTACCAAAGAAATATCCTGCTCACGCTTTGCCCAATATCCTAGCATCCTTCAGCTTTTGTCGGAATCTTCTTCATCTTTAGGGCCATCCCAATTCGTCTAGGGATCTCAGTGTTTCCGTTCTCTGTGAAGATTAATCGTACAGAGACGAAGAGCGTCATTCTTCAGATTCTGGCTTAACATTTTTAATTCGTTTTTCCATATTTCAATATAATTAACCAGTAGACGAAATTTTTAAACGATTTTGAATTCAAGTAATCTTTTTTTTTAAAATCTTTATTTATTTCTTCTCCACAACTTCCTTTTTCTTTTTTTCTCTGTAAATTTTTGTTTCAAAAATTGTTATGACTTCTCATTTTAATATCAATTTAAACCATCAACTAATTTTAACAATACATCATTTTATACTTTCATGATATATATATATATATATATATATAAATATATATATATATATAAAATATATATATATAAATACAATGATAGGCCCAGATGGTAAATTAAAATAGTGGAATGAATTCAAGTTAGTTTTTCTCGTTTCAGAGCGATCATAGCCCTCCACGGTTTCTTTTTCTTTATTATCTGTAAATGTCTATGACTGCTTGGAAAAAGATAATTGTGCAGGACATGGGAGATCATGTCTCTCCACAGATTCCATTTTTTATTATCGCCCTCGGAAAGAAAGTAACATGGTTTCCCGTTCCCCACTCCACCTTTTGGAATTCTGTGCATCTTTCTCATTTCAGGACGTAGTCGGTGATGTTTTTTAATAGCCTCCTTTTTTTTTTATCATTGTGTAAATGTCTATTTTTTTTTACAATGGTTTGGCTCATTTTCCGTTGCTTTCGTCATAGTTTTGAGTCCAATGTAGGCCAAAATATTCGCCATATATGTAAAATCGAATTAGAAAACCCAGTCTACTTTGATATTTAATCCATAGATCATGAAAAAATTTTGAAAAAATTAAAAGCAATTGGTTAATTTATAAGTATAAATGAAACCGTTTGGCCGAATGGCATTGAGAATGTCCATTCTGGTACAAAAATTGTATTGTTTATTTCGTAAAATATAATTAAAACAGTATTTATAATTAATTGTTTTCGAAAGATCGTCAATGTAAGTTAAAAACTCATTTTCGTTTTGTCCGACCGCCATCACTAGCATTGTTTAAAAATAAAATCCTCTAAAATAATAAAAATAAATCTTTGCATATATATAATTAACGGCCTTTTATAGCTTTTCGTATCTTATATGGTCTTGATTACTTGCGATTTTCGCGGATGTTATTTTAAAATGCGCTTATTTTTTAAAAAATGTTTTTTTTAAATGAAAACAAATTTTTTTTATTGTTTTAATAAATTTGCTTATAGCGTTTCATGAAACAGAATTCAAAGGAAAAAATTTTTTTGAAGCTTTAAATTAGAAGAATTCAAAAACACGATTACATAAAAAAAAGTAGTTAAAAAAAAGAAAATCCTTTTTTTTTTTTGAATTTATTCACAAATTTTTAATTTACTTAACGAAAATTGTCGGATTTTAATTTTTTTTCGCGCATTATTTTGCGCATTTTTTTTCAAACTTAAATATATTGCGCATATAATCAAAAAGTGAAATAAAAAAAAATGACGACTCGAGGCAAACGTATGATTAAACAAAAGCCAGTAATGGCGGACGTATGTGCTACCTACGCGACAAGAAAGAAGTTTGTTCAATTTAAAATAATATCTAAAAAAAAATCGAGCGCAATGTTTTAAAAAATTTAAAATAAATAAAACATGCTATTTCACACCAGAATTTACATTAAAACCGGTGCTTTTTATGTAAATTTAAAAAACAATTTTTTTGCGCCAAGAATTTGAATTCAGAATGAAAATT